GTCCTTCAATCTGTCTTTTTGGCTTTTTGTCCATTTTTATGACCCTGCCCTGACACTCCCATCTGTGAAACCTGGACTCTTAACCTTTTCACACAAGACAAATACATGAGGACAGTGGGATTTGGGTGGGATTCAGGGTTTTTAGTGATGAGTAAAAGCTGGACTGGAGGGAACTTGCTTGAAAGACTGACGTCATCTACAATAATTTAGCTGCAACCAAAGTGGGTTTTATCAGTACATCATAGACAAGTTAGTTTTTTTTTTTGGCCAAATGTTCTGATTAAGTTACCCCCACCCCCTCGGAAAAAAAAAAAACTGCCATAAAATTCCTTCCGGGAGCAGGCAGAATATACTGGTGTACTGTCCAGAGAGATATTTAGGTATTTTTCCAACCAGGACTGCTTTCCCCTTTTTCCTCTTATCAGTGACTGTCCTTGTGAATTCCCAGCTGAGGCTCAATCAGGGAGAGAATACCTGATCCCAATGCCAATTGAGACTTGCCAGCACTCACACACAGACACAGACTTATCTACACATAAACACACACACGCAAAAATAGCAAAAACCTAAATAAATACACGAACATCTGCACATGCAGGGGAATGAAAATGCAAATGCTGCCTCAGCCATTTGCATGCCACATACCCTCTATTACTGCACCATATAAAGCCCATTGATTCGAAAAGAGAGGTGATTTTTCCCAGTCAGTGGTTTAGCATGTTGAGGTCACCACAGGCATTTTCCTTGTGAAGACACAAAGGTCAGATACAGGAATCCAGAGAAGAGGAGTTTAACACCGGTCATTCTCAGGAATAGCTGTGAGAGTCAGTCAGGCCGCAGTGTGTGTACAGAGTGTGTTAGCTTGTGTGTGCAGCTAAAAGGCAGCTTGAAGGGCATGGTTTTCCTAGTGGTGTCAGTGACCTATGAATGCTCTCTCCCTCTGTGCCTACCCTGAGTGTTTTTTTCTGCTTCTTACCTTCATGTTGGTCCTCTTCTTTTTCTTTTTTTGTTCTTCTTCACCTGCCAATGCTTATGTAACCTAACAGCCATCCAGATCTTGACTTCCATCTGTTCCCTTTCACAGCACCAGTGATTAGCCTCTCATCAGTCCTCACTATAGAGCCCATCTGTGACTAAATGAACCAAATAGTGACTGGGTCAGTTAATAAAAAACTCCCCATTACATTACTGAAAACAGTAGAGGATCTATTCATTGTAAAGTGTCATTTTGTGTCTCTTCACACCGATTGAATTTGAACTTATCTGGTCAACCTGAGGTGAGCAACACCTACTCTGATCACAGCATTAGGACTTAGCAAGTATGCAGCTATGAGAGTTTGTGTGATAAGCCTACATGTGAGAGAAGCCTGTATGCTTCAGTGGGTATATGTGTTAGTTATGTAAGATGGATAATTAGCTGCAATATACTAGGATATACTTGCACAGTATATCCAAATATTTGTGAGGGGCATGTTGAAGAAGGTTCAATTGAATATCTAAGTAGAAAATCAAGCAGACTTTTGGACACTGTATGATCATCTTAATATCACAGATTGAATAAAGCACCTTTTGATGGTGGTATTTTAACCTAATTTCAATTTTAGTCCATCAGAAGTTTAAGTCTATATTTCACTCCAGTATGTGTAAATTTAAGTTGTGACTCAGTTACTCACCAGGACGTTTAGTTAATAATAACAAGATCAGGAAATAAATTGAAGGACAACTGATAGCTGATTAGACAGCTATTATCATCTTTTATTTATTTATTTATTTTACCTTTTATCTGCTTTTACCATTATCAGTTGCAAGCCAAATCTGAGGTATCTATATCTACTGTAACATTGCAGTTAGGATTTTGCAGGGAAATGGGAAAAAGAATAATTGGAACAAAAGAAATCACAAACAGCTTGTTTGTCCCAGTAGGAGTTACTGTATGTTGAAGGTTGATACAGCATCAATCCTTTTTGGCTTGGAACTGTTAACTGAAAATAAGTTGTATTGATATTTAATACTTAAATATTTTGGTCATAAATGTACCTCCTCCATCATTATCATTCTTGCTGTAGTGAACACTGGCCCCGCGATGAACTGGCGACCTGTCCAGGGTGTACCCCGCCTCTCGCCCGACGTCGGCTGGGAGTGGCT